GTTTTCAGTCCGATACCGAGTTCGCGCTATTCGATTTCGATTCCTATTCTGAATACTACTATATTCCTCGTCCACTATTTCACAGTTCTCATTCCAGCCCCCTCACATGCAGCATGTAAGCGTTACAACGATGTCAAACGGCTCACAGATGACGTCACCCGAATTCTCGGGTCAATCTTAATAAAACGCTATCTCAAATAGATGTCAGTTACTTGTAGGCTGCAGACCAATGAGGAGTGATTAACCACGTGTATCTCAAAGCAAAACACCGGCTGAATCAAACCTTGAATCGAGGTTTGAGGATGCATTTGCGATCACACCCGATAGGTTGTACTTTCAATTTTCCATCGATTTTGTTCAGCTGACTTCCTGAAGTGGCTTTGATAAATATCGGGATTCATAATGCGATATCACATAATCTGAATTTAAGATTAAACGATTGTTAAATGTTCATTGCTTCTCATCAGGACGAAATGAATGAAAGACACAAAGTTTGTCAGAGATCGATTTAAAATGAAAAAATATCTGTTCGATAAAAATGAATTATCAAATAAGCTCCGAATACAGACCGTTTATTCTTATTAAGTCTTGAACGCAATTATGCTCAGTAATAAATAACGGATATGTATATGTCATTTAGTGCAAACTCCACCACCGAAGTCACGCACCGTGGCAACTGTCAGTAAACAAATCGATCGTATTATCGAAGCGACAAACGACGTGCCATAGATTCATAGTCAGATTTTAGGTCAACTTATTGAAATAGCACACGGAGACAGTTCGACCGATTTGGGATCCGCACAAAACATCGTAATATCGGAGACCACGATAAAATTAATTCCTTGTTACGCTGGAGGTGAATGCCGTTTGAAAAACTCACTTGGAGATGAATCCGGAACGGGATTACACACGACCGTTATACACAAGGAAACCTGGTGAGCTTGGTAATTTGATGTCTTCAGTGGTAATAAAACGTGTGGTGTTTGTCGATGAGTAGATATTTGGCGGGTTTGAACGGTTATGGTGGTTCCTAAAGTAGACAGAGTGCAACAGCTTTTTTCCTTGCGAGAATTTATTTTTTACTGTGATTTATGCACCGTAGAAAATGATTAAGAATTCAGTATAATTCAATTCCGGTGGATTCAATATGTGTGACGTTCAGCAGCAGTTGCTGCTGTTGCTAGTGGATTGAACAGTAGATCCGAGTATTTCCAAGACTCGTTCGTCGGTGTGTTTTACATATTCATTACCCCGTCCCTCCGAATGTGTGGTGAAAATACGATCATAATTTAATCAACAGGCTTTGCGCTTCCCGAGAGAAATTTCATGTTGACCATCAAGTCCTCTGATTGGTGTATTCCGCAAGACTTTTGTGTAACATAGTATTCGTGTTCCTAACTCCTGATGAAAGCCTGTGTTTTTGGATACCAGTAAAATCAATGCTTAATTGTGCGATAATCAAAGGAGCAGTGACATGAATGGAATTAAAAACTTAATCGCTTTTAGCTGTCAGAGACTATCCTATTGTTCATCCTGGAGAGGCCAATATAATGTTTTTGTAAACCAGAATTAACTTCAAGCGAAACATAGAACTATACAGTTAGGTGGAATAGCTATTTCAGTTGAAATGTTTGTTCGTCAAATACAATTTCAATGCTCGTTATGCTAGTTTTGATGGAAAAATTTCACCGTTGGGTAGGTGAATTTTTGTCCTCTTTTTGCTTGAGCATATCTTTGATTGATTCTGTCCCCTGTGTTTGGATTTAAAGTTCTTGTGTTGGCATGTTGACCATCAATGGGAGAATAGTTGCATTGCATCTAACCACACAACAAATCAAATAGTTCATGAACTTTTTTTAGGGGAAAATATGTAAAATAAAATAAAAGTTGAAACTCGCAATCGTGAAAAGCCTAAAACGGATTGTAAAAAAATCCAGGGTGTTGCCGTGCCTTCTTACGTGACAGGTGGTATCAATGGACGGACACGACTAGTTATTTCCTGAACGCACAATTGTGAATGCCGACCACCGCTTTTCAAAATTGGTTTGTCATTTGGTCTATTTGCAATTGAAGTCCGGTCGGATAGGTCAAAACACGCACTACCAGCTAATTTCAACAAGTTCGTGAAAGGCTGATGGTGTGCACTGTGAGGTACATGAATTTTTTTATTCAAATTAATAATAATAACTTACTTCCTTTCCAACAATGGAATGCTGAAACAAGTCTCAGGATGGGGCTGCAGCCTATCAGATACTGTTTGCGGATGTACTTGAACGGGATGATGGTAGTAACAGTTGCAGATTATGGGCAGTGTGGCACGTGTTTGAGACACGTAACTTATCCATAGTTTATGCTATACAAGAAGCCTCCAGTCTTGCCTCTGGCTAAGCAATGAGGTCAAACCAACACACCATATCAGGTCAACCACTGGCATAATGCGCCCACGCCGTTACTGTCGCATCTTTTGACATTGTCTCACTCAGTGTTTGTCCACAGACACACATACACAATCATATTCCATCACGTGATTGTTCTGCTCCTGAATACATAGATTATGGACGAACAACCATGTTCTCGGTCGGAACAGATTTTTCATTGTTTGTTTCTGTGTTTTGACAGCAAGTTGCGTGGACTTGTCACAAGATGATAGTACCGCATCAAGCGTGGCTACCTCCTTTCGTGTTCTAAACACAACAGTTACCGTGACTTTAAATGGTGTAATTTTATCTAACCGGATGGTTACATTTGTGATTGTATTTGACGGAATTACTTATCGCATGCTGTGTAGAAATAACAGTTTCACAACCAACGGGAACTGAGAATCAAATAATCAGGTGTGGCCCGGTGACTGCTGTTCTGTATGGGTAAACCACGAGTACTTCAGAGTGACTGAATGCTCTTTTTATCCCTTCACCTGATGAACGTTTTAATTCAGGAACCAAACTGATACAACGAGGGATTGTGTGCCAGCTGGACAATCTCCAGAGCATGTCACTTTTCTCTCTGCTAATATCATCAACGTTTTCCGGTGAGGGAGTAGGTTGGCTGACCAACTTTTAAAAAGAACCAGTTTGAATAATATGTGAAAACAAAACAGAGGGGACTGCAACACGAATAAAAACAAAATGTGAATAGGTGCGGCTGTACAAATCAATTATCAACTGTTCTGATACAGGGGATGAAGATCTTTGGGTCTGAAGGTAGACATCCACGGAAATTACACTGCGTCAATTTGCCACTTCAATACTCCCATATATTCGTATTGTGTATTGTTTTACGTGAACTAAGCACGATCGAAACAGAAATTCTGTTTACCCATAGTATTATTTAAACCGAAAACGCATATTTCAAATCAACAGAGTGAAGACGCCACAGAAAAAGGGAAAGTAGATGAGATCGTTCATACAATTTTTAGGGAAAGGATTATCTGCATTTTCTTATTTTCCATGTTCACCGCATCAACCACTCAATAAAATTGACAGATGTTAAACAAAAGCTCGATATTTTTCCTGACTGTTACAGGAGAGTTTGGATTGTTTTTGGAACTGATTGAGGCTGAGCCACTGAATGAGAAAGATCTGGGTTCAATTGCCTACTTTCGCGCGAAAATTCGTGAAAAATTTGAACAAACTATATTTCAAAATGTCGATCTGCTTCGATTGGCCCAAACCATTCCGATGGAGGAAGTGTGGACTAAATGCACTTTTGAACGCATTGAACCAGGTATGTTTTCCGCTGTGAGTGCCATCTGGAATGACACTGGTGAGACGCTTCCAACATCCCCCCGGGAGGTTGAAATACACATCAAGCTTTTATTAACCTTCTTGTCTACTGAGTTTCTGTTTTTGGCCTACCGAGGAGGTTGCAAAATGTAGGCATGGAATCTGTACCTGGATGACTTTTAGAGGGAATTTCACATAAAAATATGAAAAACCAAATACGTAGGTTTCGAAAATCTTGAGTGACTCAAAAACGTTGATGTATTCTGTTATGGTTTACTGAGCTATGCAATTCAGTTTTTCGTGCAACAAGCTGGTTTCCGATTCCATACGGGGTTGTTTGTCTGATCTTCGCAGTATTTTTCTCCTGGCGCCATTATACTGCATGATGCAGATTTCTGAATTTCCGATTGCACTACTTGTATATATTGAGTAGCTTGAATAGAGAAAATTTTTGAATAATTATAGCTCAAAATCGTGATAAAAGTAAGGGTACCGGATTTTATGATAAGTGAATGAAAACGAGCAAACTCTGCGATTTTTACAGTACAATAATATGGTTAATAACAATTTGATTCATTTATGGCTTCGGCGCAGCTCAAATTGCACTCAAATTTTTAATGTCCAGACCTAAGTATCTAAAAATAAAGAACCGTAACAGAGATACTCAGGGTGACGATGCTGGAAACAATTGAACATGATCATTGTGAAAAATAGCCTAGAAAACCGAACAAAAAAACGTTATTTCCCTTGTAGATGACTATTCAAAATCCAGTGACTCAGCTGTGTTGCTGAGTGTCTATAAGCAAGATCAATTACTGGCTGATGGTCTAAATAAATATGGAAAAGGTGGTTCAGCGATAACTAAGGCAACGATCCCAAGGTCAAGGGCATCTGTCTCATCGGGATGTTTTCTGACTTCCAAAGTCCGCCATTTGCGTGCGATGTTCATGGACGGGTGTGCCACTCTACGCTCTCCGTGTGCTTGCATGTGATTGTAGTCTTTGTGTGTATGGAGGTGCTACAAAATGACATTATTTACATAGTGGCAAGCTTGCTTTTCAAATTGTGATCATAATTAACACCAAATGAGATTAAGAAGATGAACGGTCAAGTTGTGCTCGCTAACTACTCTTAAAAGTTCGCTATTGTCAGAATTTCCCGGGAAATGGAAATGGATCCACATGGCTCATTGAATATGTCGCTTCAAATCGTCTCCCGACACTTTATTCGATTTTGAGGTCAACGAATATCGATTTTGGAATTATAGTTGTCGGTATTGTATAGAATCACCGGAATGAGTGCGGTCGGTCCATTAACATGGGTGAAAATGAATGACTCGTGTTAAAGTTTATTCACCTACACTGTTCAGGTTAATCGCTCGTTGGATGAGCAGATATGTGAATGAAGACGCACGGATAAGTAACCTAACTCATTTGATCATTGGTTTTCAACGTGTGTTTCATTTTGATTCATTGAATTTTGATTTCTTTCAAAAGTATTTGTTCCATGGCTGTAATGAGATATATATCGGAAGCGAACATTTGTCCAGCGCAACTTCTTACTAAAATTTAGTCAAGTCGACTTGAGGACTCACCCAAGTTGTAAAAGTGAAAAATGCTTTGTCACTTTGAGTAAATTTCATTAGAGGGTGTGTAATAAGTCGTTGGTAGAATTTCACCTTGGAACTTTTACATATCCGACCGTATACACAGAACGGCAGCGTCATTGTCAAGTTTCTTTTCGACCGGTTGTGCTAACTTGGATAATGGGTTCCATTTAGTCATTGGTTGCCCCTAGGTAGCATGAATACCCAAACCATGAATATTGGAAAATCACCTCGTGGATAGTTTACGCTGAATCCGTCAAAATGCACTGAAGTTCATCGGCACTGTCTGGTTCAATTTAATTTATACCCAGGCAGACGCGTATTCCTACATTACGTTCTGGACACTTTGTATGCACATCCATATACAGATTCGGTGAGAGTGATATAATGTTCCCTATCTTGTAGCTCATATGAACCGTGGCAAGAGTATTGCAGCCTTCTCCCCTCGGTAAATCTTCGAACTAATTTCGCTCTCTAAGACGAAAGATCATTATTAGTTTTAAGAATGTACACATCATCACAAGGCGGAATATGAAATTTCATCAAATTAGCTATCATTCTTTTGGAAACATACTGAAAAATCACAATTTATACCGCAATAAAAGTATTGCAACCCATGAACATCGACCAGTGAGGCCAGTTCAATACCGGATGCTTTGGTGATTCTGTCCTAAACGTTTCACACAACTCCGCATGTTTTGTACGCGATTCCAAATAATGTTGTCTATTTATACAAACATACTCTCCCAATGAGTCCTCCTTGACCTCTGTCCAACTTCGCATGTGAGCTACACTTCAGTCATAGCAACTACATTGCTGTGCTTTCTAGCTGTACTTCGTTTGGCTCAATTTGAGGTAGAAATCATGAAAATTGATCCACCCCGTCTTGTGCTCAGCTCGTTTTGACCACAATAGTGCAGCAAGGAGATTTAGTGCCGATCCACGTCTGATTGTTGTGGCCTGATCACGCTGATCTTACAGGAGAAGAATGAGCAAATTTGAATTGTTGTGCGTTGTTATTGGGTAACTATTGCCCAGGCGGGCAAGGTACAGAATGGTGTTCTTTTTGTATGTGAACATATATGCAAGGCGAAGTTGAAAATTGATGCTCTTTGGGGCATTTGACACAGTTTCCATTGTTTCGCGATGTAGACAGTTCTGTTGATCACTAGTTATCTTATCAATAAACTTATCACAAGTCGCGAAAGGATTGAAAACAATAAACTCAACCAAAACAGTTTTATCCGTGTCACTCTATCGGGACAAAAGTCCATGGAACTTGGAACAAATGATGACAGCTTTTGCCCTCGAAATATGAATATATATAGGAAAGCAGCATCACTAAGATGGGAGGATGCAAACAATCAAAACGACTAGTTTGTTGAGCCTGTATGCGTAGAAAGGCAGTCTGCGAACTTTCGTGGGGACGCTTTCAACTTGAGTAGACGAGGACGGACTATGGATTCGGGCACTTAACAGAATCAGAATTCTTCGAATCAAAATGGATATGTTAGTGACAACTCTGACAAAAAAATAGTAGGTTAACCCGGCCATGACCGAAGGATGACACTTTGGCAGTTCACTTTTTTAACGTTTTTAGGGGCATGGTTCCTCAAATGTCAGTTCAATTACCATTTGTATATGGCCGCTTGCTTTGAGCCTATCGACAGGTAGTGGATGCATCTATGTCCACTAACATTTGTGAAGAAGAATCAGCTAGTGTTTTTCCTGCTTTCACAGTTACCCTTGACGGTAGCTTGTCACACACAGAGAAAGACAGATGCTGGGATTCAGATAGTTGCGCCCTGGTATATGACATATTGATGTGCTCATCGGAAGACAAAAACGGGCGTTCAGCAGTGTTAAAAAGCGTGAACCCCGGAGCGTTTTGACCGAAAAAATAAATAAAATGGTCAATTATTCTAACCACATTCATCAAAATAGTGTAGATCAAATGGAGCTAGGGTAAGCAAGTTCAACGAGAACAGGGCAGAGGACATATCAACAGAATCTGTCATGGAAATACAAGGAAACGAAACGGGCAATTTCTTTGACCCAGTAGACAGAAAGTTACTGTGATAAAATTGAGTGATATTTGATGACAAAATTGAGCTTACCCTGAGTGGTTATTTTCATGGTTGGTTTGATTCTGTTGATAATCCTGAAAGTTAACCAAAATTAACCGCTTATAACAAAACATTTGAAGGCTTCATTCGGTTGTTCAACATAGTAAATACAGTGGGAATAGTGCTTCTTAATATGTCAAACTCGCACCGCACACGTTCCTGTCACCTTCTCGTGTAATCTACGTTTTAGAGTTGTTCGCTTACACTAGCGATCTCAACCCGATTGAGAACCTCTGGACACTGTTCATCAGGCTAGTATATCGAAATGTCAAGGCTAATAGTTTACTTCTTAATGCTATTGTCCTTTCCGGAGGGCATCTCGCACAGTGGTCGCTGACCTAGGTTCTAATAGTAGCCCGGCAAATACAATCGATCGATAAAGTGCGTGATTGAACCAGATTGGCTGTCCCAATGGTCCACTGAGTTGAAATTTCGCTATGTCTTAAACACTTTGAACCGCACAAATGACTGACCGGTATATCAGACATTAAGCTTTTGTTCAGTCTGTCAGTTGGTGCCGTTGATCGAGATTTTTTCCCTGGAACTCCTATCTCATCTACGAGAAAGATTGATGCAATCAACGTTTATTTCTAGGCTGTTAAACATGCTCTTCGCAGTGATGTTTTCGTTTGTCACTTTTACCGATGGGTAGCATACCCGTGTGACCCGGTTTGAAGGTTCCATCCTTGTCTTGTAATACTGTACTGTTGTCATCACTGTATATATA